GCCTACAGCCTGAATGCAACGTAAGGGAGACAGACTTGCTCTCTGCTCTTTGCCACCGCCATGAAAGGTTGTTCTCTACTACGTGCCACTCTGCCTTGCAGCCAGCCAAGTATGGACTGAAATGTCCAGTAACTGTGTAAATAAACCTTTCCTTCCTTCATTTTTGGTGTTGGAGAGAGCAATGAGTAACTGAGTCAGTGCCAGATCCAGTGAATAAGTGGACAAAGACACACCGTAAAGCTTTTATTCCTGCCTTTCCATTGTCTAGTCATAATCTCTGCAGCATTTGTCAATGGTGGATTTCTTAATGATAGCTACTTTTTCTGAGGTGGGATGAAATTTCAGGGTTGTTTTAATTTCCTTCTCTTAAATGACCAATGATGCTGAACATTTTTTTCATACATACTTGCTATTTCTATTTCTTCATCTGAGAAATATATATTCATCTCAGAGATTTTTGAGTTGGGTCTTTGAATTTGGGGGATCTGATTTTTTTCAGTTTTTTAAATGTTCTAGATATAAGTCCTTTGCCTGAAGGACAGTCGGCTAAAATGTTTTCCCATTCTGTGAGTTATCTTTTCACTTTGTTGATATGATTTTTTTTATGCACAAAAGCTTTATAATAAGATGAGATCCCGGTTTTGTTTCTTTGAAGTATTTTCTATGAATAAGAACTCTGCCTACAACTCTGCCTATCGCTATGTCTTCAAGATTCTACCTATTTGCTATTCTAGTATTTAGTGCTTGTGTTTTATTTAGATAGTTGATTCATTTTGACTTTAGTGCATGGAGATAAACATGGGTCTAGTTTTAGTCTTGTTAGATTAATTCCTAAGTATTTCATTTTTTGAATGTCATTGTGAAAAGAGTAATTTCCTTAATTTCTATGAATGTGTTGTTTATAAGAAGCTACTGATTTTTTTGAGTGTCCACTTTGTATCCAGTTATGTTACTGAGTTTGGTTATTAAATTAGATGTCTCACAGTGGAGTATTTGGAGTCTTCTATGTAGAATATCATGTCAGCTGAGAATAATGAATACACTTCTCCCTTTCCTATCCTTACTCCTTTTATCCAGCTATGCTACTGAGTTTGGTTATTAAATTAGACATCTCACAGTGGAGTATTTGGGGTCTTCTATGTAGAATATCATGTCAACTGAGGATAATGAATTCACTTCTCCCTTTCCTATCCTTACTCTTTTTGTATCCCTCTCTTATCTAACTACTCTGGCTAATGTTTTCAAAACTATCCTGACTAGGAATCGTGAGCAGACATCCTTGTCTTGTTCCTGATTTTACAGTGAAAGCTTTCAGTTTTTGTCCACTTAGTATGACGTCAGCTGTTGGTCTGTCATAGATGGCTTTTATAAGATTGAAGTAAAGACCATCTATTCCAATTTTCTGTAGGTTTTCATTGTGAGTGTTTGGCTTTATCAAAGCTTTTTCTGCATCGATTGAGATGATTATATGACTTTCATCTTTGTATCTGTTCATACGGTATATTACATTTATTGATCTGCATATATGAACCATCTCTGTGTTCCTGGAATGAATCCTACTTGGTTATAGTATATAATCTTCTTGATGATTTGCCATACTCTGATAGTACTTTACAGAGGATTTTTGCATCTATGTTCATTAGGGAGACTGGCCTGTAGTTCTCTTCTTTGGCTGGGTCTTTCTCTGGTTTTGGTATCAGGATTACTACTTGCCTACAAGAATGAGTTAGGGAGAAATGCTTCTTTTTCAATTTTATTAAAGAGTATAAGGACTACTGACATTCAATCTTCTCTAAATTTCTTGTAGAATTCAGCTGTGAATCCATCAGGACCTGGACTTTTGTCGGTAACTTTTAAATTACATTTTCAATCTCATTAACTGACAATCGGATTCTTCAGAATGTGTATATCTTAATTCAACTCTAATTCATATGTATCTAGGAATCTAGTTCTGTGTTTTCCATCCTATGAGAGTAAAGATTTTCAAAGTAGGTATTGATGGTCTTCTGAATTTCCACAAGATCTGTAGTGATTTCACCCTTTTTATCTTTCAATGAATCCGTATCTTTCATTTTATTGATAAAGTTGGCTAAGGGCTTGTCAATTTTGTTCAAAGAACAAACTCTTCAATTCATTAATTCTTTGTATTGTTTTTTTAGTCTCAATTGTGTTCATTTCTACTCTTATCTTTATAATTTTCTATGTGTGTTAGATTTATCTTCTTGTTCTTTTTCTAGACGCTTGAGTTACATTAGATTGTTTGTGTTTGTTCTGTTTTCCTGATGTGAGAATTCATCACTGTATGTTTCCCTCTCAGGACTGTTTACATTGAGTCCCATAACTTCTGGTATGTTGTATTTGCATTCTTGTTTGGTTATAAATACTGTTTAATTTGTTCTTTAATTTCATCTGTGACCTGTTGGTTTAGTAGCGTGCGTGTTAGTTAGTCTCTAAGTGTTAATGGAGTTTTTCTAGTTTCTTCTGCCATTACTTTCCAGTTTCACTGTACTATGGTCAGATAACATGCCTGGGATAATTTCAATTTATTTGCATTTACCTACACATGTTCTGTGAGCTAATAGATGGTCTATTTTCAAGAATGTCCCATGTGCAGCTGAGAAGAATGTGTATGCTGATGATGTTGGATTTAACACTCTGAAAATATCTACTAAGTCCATCTGTTCACAGATTTGGTTTAATTCTGGTATTTCTTTACTGATATTTTGGCTGGTTGATCTATGTGTAACAGGGGGGTATTAAGGTCCCCCATTACAATTGTGCTATTGCTTATTTGATTTTTCATGTCTAGTATATAGTCGAATGCTGCTGTATTGGTGTATACATATTTATGATTGTTATCTCTTCCTCTTGAGTTTTTCCCTAACAAATATTTAGTACTCTCTTTATCTCTGAGGTTATTTTTATTTTGAAGTTTACACTGTCTGAAAACAGAATAGCTACCCCTGCTTTTTTCTCTGTTCCTGTTGAGTGGAGTATTGTTTTTCACCTTTGACTCTGTGGTTCAGGAAGGGAGCTCCCTCTGTGGTTGAGGGAGCTCTGGTCTCTACTTTGAATATCACTTCCTGGCTCCAAAAGGGAAGATGGTGCATAGTTCAATGTCCTGGAGAAATTTGTCACACTAGTTTTCCTGATATGAATTTGGCTGTTCTCATTATTAGAGGAGCTCAGGACCTCTGTCACTGAGGATGACTGTGATACTTGTTGGAGGAACACTGGCTCTTATTTTGATCGTTGCTTCCTGGCTCCAGTGCAGAACCCTCAGTCTTTTGGCACAGATCCTTCATCCCACTGGTGGAGACTTTCTAGCTTCCACCACTGACCTCAGGGCCTTCCTAGTGCAGAACCTTGAAATAGGCCTGCATGAGACATTGTTGTTGTCTCTTGGCCTCTAACTGAACTGATGGGGAGCATTTCCATAGATTCTAGGTCTTCAGCTAGACTCATGCAGAACACTGCCATGGGATCTAGACTCTTAGTTGGACTCTCTGGGTCTTTAGGATATGGACAGATTTTTCTGTACTTTTTTGTACATGACTCTTTGAGTGACTATTACAAAATAGTCCTATAAATTATGTATCCTGTATTATATTGTTTTCCTTGCAAACCCCAACTACAATAGATGAAAAGTAACTATTTGGCTCAACAACTAATTCTTTGTTATCGGGTTATGGTAATAATTATGACCCTATACAATTGCAGTGGTATCATACAGAAGAGAAAACCTAATTATACCATGTATTATATCTTGGCTAATGCAGTACAGTTAGTAATAACAATAATTTCGTGTATAGCTTAACTACTGCCAAACTATGGTGACCATTAACCTAGTACCTCTGACCACAGAAGTGAACTCTACAGATATAGAATAAATCAAACATACACCATATATTTGTATGCCATAATTTTCCCCTTAGTGGAGTGATTTTACCCTTCTCCACAGGGCAGGAGAGTTAAGATGAGTAGGGGACAGGATAAAGTGACGAATGAGATCAAATGTAGTACAGTCAAGGCTGCAGGTCAAAGGATGATCACCTGAATTTTGGGAAACTAAAGAACATAGGGAAAGAATGGACTAGAATGGAAAGGAGTAATTACAAAGGAAAAAAACAATGTTTACTTACTTGAAATTTTAAATTCAAAAAGTAGTTAAGAAGATAAAGACAACCAGTAAAACAAAATGAAATGGAAATGTAAAAAAACTACACAGTGAAAGAAGGCAGGAGAAGAAAAAAGAAAAAAACAAAGAGAGAGAGGAAGAAAAATCCCCAAAACAAAAATAACCACAAAATACAAAACAAGATGACATCCAACAAGACAAGACAGGGAAGGAATAGCCAACCAGAGAAGCCAGGGAGAATAAAAGTATTAAAATAACTCTGGTGCTTATAGTTCTGTGATAGTGTCCATGTCGGATCCCAAAAATGTGATGTATACTCCAGCCAAGTTTCTCATAGGAATTGTGTTGGGTAAGGACGTTATCTTGACCTCTGTGGGGGCTAGAACTGGCCTTCTGTTGGTAGAGGTTGCCATACATCAACTGTTGGCTTCTCACTGCTGCTTCAGACCCTTTCATATTGTTGGTCTCACTGATTACTCCACCTTCCAAAGACATACATGTACACACATGCCTGGGCCGGCTATTTTGAGCCTCCGGGTTCTAGATGGTCCGACAACCAAAGACATGTGTCTATTCACCATATTTTTGTCATACTTCATAAAGGCATAGAAGTGGACTTCCACAATAGCTTCAGAAAGTGGCCAGAGTGATGGGACAAGTAAACTGTGTGGGAGATTAATAGCAATATGTCTTTTACTATAAAGTTTTTTTTTTTTAAATTTAAACATTCCCTATATATTTTGACCACCTCTGTATGATACTGAGAATTACAGCAACCACTAGAAAAAAGCTAGGAGAATTGTAGAGATGCAAACATTGAACTTTAAACCATCATATTGAGGAAATGACATAAGGATGGCGGAGGGGCGCGAGGTTTCAAGATGGCGGAGACTGGGTGCTTGACAGAGAAGCAGAGGTGAAGGCCCCTACGGCGGAAAGGAGGCTGGGACTCGTCCCCTCCATGCCCCTAGCAGTTCTGGGATCCCAGCAGGAGTGTTTTATTTTTTTTTTTTTAAAGAATAAGTGAACCATTATAGATTGTCAATATGGAGCGGAGATCAACATCATCCACCAAGAGTGGAAAATTTATGAACCCTACGGACCAAGCTCGAAAGGAAGCTCGGAAGAGAGAATTGAAGAACAAAAAACAGCGCATGATGGTTCGAGCTGCAGTTTTGAAGATGAAAGATCCCAAACAAATCATCCGGGACATGGAGAAATTGGATGAAATGGAGTTTAACCCAGTACAACAACCACAGTTAAATGAGAAAGTACTGAAAGATAAACGTAAAAAGCTTCGGGAAACCTTTGAATTTATCCTACGACTTTATGAAAAAGAGAATCCGGATATTTATAAAGAATTGAGAAAGCTCGAAGTAGAATATGAACAGAAAAGGGCTCAACTTAGCCAGTACTTTGATGCTGTCAAGAATGCTCAGCATGTAGAAGTAGAGAGTATTCCTTTGCCAGATATGCCACATGCTCCTTCCAACATCTTGATCGAGGACATCCCACTTCCTGGTGCCCAGCCCCCCTCCATCCTAAAGAAGACCTCAGCCTATGGACCTCCAACTCGAGCAGTTTCTATCCTTCCTCTTCTTGGGCATGGTGTTCCACGTTTGCCCCCTGGCAGGAAACCTCCAGGTCCTCCACCTGGTCCCCCTCCTCCCCAAGTCTTGCAGATGTATGGCCGTAAAGTGGGCTTTGCTCTTGATCTTCCTCCTCGTAGGCGAGATGAAGACATGTTATATAGCCCTGATCTTGCGCAGCGTGGTCATGATGACGATGTTTCCAGCACCAGTGAAGATGACGGCTACCCTGAGGACATGGATCAGGACAAGCACGATGACAGCACTGATGACAGTGACACAGACAGGTCAGATGGAGAAAGTGACGTGGACGAGTTTATGCACCGAGACGATAATGAGCGAGACAACACCGAGGAAAAGAAAGCAGGTCTGAGTGTGCGGTTTGCAGACATACCTGGGAAATCAAGAAAGAAAAAGAAGAACATGAAGGAACTGACGCCTCTTCAAGTCATGATGCTGCGAATGGCAGGTCAGGAAATCCCTGAGGAAGGTCGGGAAGTGGAAGAATTTTCAGAGGATGATGAGGAGGAAGATTCAGAGGATTCTGAAGCAGAGAAGCAGTCACAGAAGCAGCACAAAGAAGACTCTCATGAGGGTGCAGCCACAGCTTCCTCCCAGCAGCAGGCGCCCCCTCAGTCCGTTCCTCCTTCTCAGATACAGGCGCCGCCCATGCCAGGACCTCCTCCTCTTGGGCTTCCGCCTGCCCCACCTCTGTGGCCTCCAGGACCACCCACGGGCCTCCCTCCTGGCCCACCACCAGGTGCTCCTCCTTTCCTGAGGCCACCTGGAATGCCAGGGCTCCGAGGGCCTCTACCCCGGCTTTTGCCCCCAGGACCACCACCAGGCCGACCCCCTGGCCCTCCCCCTGGGCCTCCTCCAGGACTGCCTCCTGGTCCCTCTCCACGGGGCCCCCCACCCAGGCTGCCTCCGCCGGCACCTCCAGGCCTCCCTCCGCCACTTCCCGGCATGATGCGCCCACCTCTGGTGCCTCCCCTTGGACCTGCCCCACCTGGGCTTTTCCCACCAGCTCCCCTGCCAAACCCAGGGGTGCTAAGTGCCCCCCCCAACTTGATTCAGCGACCCAAGGCGGATGACACAAGTGCAGCCACCATTGAGAAGAAAGCCACAG